AATGTTGTTTGTTAGCAAACAGGATGTTACGTTACATAATGTATTCAATGGCGGGAAATTTTGTGGGAGTTGTTTACCCTAATGAAGTGACCTGTAACCTTTGTATTGGTCAACTAACATCTTGTTTGTAGAAATGCTTTGATCTAGCATTAATGTATTCCCAAGTTTATGGCCCTTTGTGTGAACCAAAGAGGTAGTTCTCTTCTAGAAGCCAAGAGAGATAGAAAGATGTAGCTGTTAGCATATATTACTGAGAGTAACTGCAAGTATGTAACTTTTTATTTTATTTATTTTATCCAAAGTACCATACCCATGTTTTATTTTGTTTTTACAGTAAAGATATTTTTCTTTTACTAAGTGTGGCTCTGTGTTTGCAATACAACCATCGGCCTTGAATTAAGAATCCCAACACACATCCAGCCCATGCTAAAGGCATTGCACTGGCTGCCGATAGCATACCGAATTCGTTTCAAGGTACTGGTTCTTACCTTCGAAGCTCTTTATGGTCAGGGACCTACATACCTGAGGGATTGCCTTTCCCCACGTGTTCCCCAGAGAGCACTGCATTCAGGGGCCCAGAACCGATTGACCCTCCCGAGTCTTAAGGAGGCCAGGCTGGTGACAACCAGGGCCAGGGCTTTCTCGGTGGTGGCTCCATCCTGGTGGAATGAGCTCCCAGTAGAGATCAGGGCCCTGCGGAGCCTTTTACAGTTCCGCGGGGCCTGTAAAACGGAGCTCTTCCGCCAGGCTTTTGGAGCTGCCGCCACCATTAAACATCATTAACAACCAAGAGCTGAAGGAGAGAAAGCCCTGTTGCCCCTGGGATTCTTCATAACAGCCTGAAAGACACCTGAAGATCTAGGAGCCGGCTATGGGAAGAGGGAACTGAGTGTGGTAGCCAGCGCTGATTCAATGATAGTCAATAACAACAACACTAGCACTTATTACATTATCGTTAACTGTTTTTAGCATTGTTTTAACTGTGTTATTTATTTATTTCCATTTATATCCCGCCCTCCCCACACGCAGGCTCAGGGCGGCTTACAAGGCACAAGTGCAATAAAAATAAATAGATTAAAACAACTCATTATCTTCAGCTCAGTTAATAAATTGCCTGCTCCACTTCCCAAAGGTATATGTAGTTCAACAGATGTAGAATCTGATACATTCTGTTTAGCTAAGTAAAAAAAAAGTAACAAAAGAGTTAGAAAATTCAGCAATTTAAAAATTACTTACTTTTTTGTTTGCTTTAATGTTTTAAATCTAAAGCATTTTTAAGAACATAAGAACATAAGAGACGCCAATGTTGGATCAGGCCAAAGGCCCATCCAGTCCAACACTCTGTGTCACACAGTGGCCAGAAATACCAGTGCCATCAGGAGGTCCAGCAGTGGGGCCAGGACATTAGAAGCCCTCCCACTGTTGACCCCCCCCCAAGCACCAAGAAGACAGAGCATCACTTGCCCCAGAGCCCCTAGCTATACCTTGTGGCTAATAGCCACTGATGGACCTCTGCTCCATATGCTTATCTAATTCCCTTTTGAAGCCGTCCATGCTTGTAGCACCCACCACTTCCTGTGGCAGTGAATTCCATGTGTTAATCACTCTTTGGGTGAAGAAGTACTTCCTTTTATCCGTTCTAACCCGACCGCTCTGCAGTTTCATGGAGTGCCCACGAGTTCTTGTATTGTGAGAAAGGGAGAAAAGTACCTCTTTCTTTACCTGCTCTTTCCCATGCATAATCTTATAAACCTCGATCATGTCACCCCTCAGCCGTCGTTTCTCCAAGCTAAAGAGCCCTAAGCGCTTTAACCTTTCCTCATAGGGAAAGTGTTCCAACCCTTTTATCATTCGAGTTGCCCTTTTCTGCACTTTTTCCAAAGCTATAATATCCTTTTTAAGGTGTGGTGCCCAGAACTGCACACAGTATTCCAAATGAGGTCTTACCATTGATTTATATAGGGGCATTATTATATTGGCTGATCTGTTTTCAATACCCTTCCTAATAATCCCCAGCATAGCATTGGCCTTCTTTATTGCAGTCACACACTGTCTCGACATTTTCAGTGAGTTATCCACTACAACTCCAAGATCTCTCTCTTGCTCAGTTCTCTCGACATTTTCAGTGAGTTATCCACTACAACTCCAAGATCTCTCTCTTGCTCAGATCTCTAGCCTGGCCTCTTTAGGGCCCGGGGTCATCAGATGGAATTGTGACCCTGACCGAAGTGCTCTTTGGGGCCTATATGTTATTGTCTTATTGTAGTTTATATGCTGATTTTATGTAAGCCGCCCTGAGCCAGCCTTGGCTGGGAGGGCGGAGTAGAGACTTGATAGATAAATAACAGGCAGGGACAAAAGAACTTAGGAAGGCCATTACCATTACCAATGCCAGCCACTGTTGGAATCAGGATGCTGAACGAGGTTTCGTCCAGTGGAGCTTGCCTGATGTTCTTAACGGGGACCACGAACGTCAAACGGAGGGTCTTCGCTGCATATTAACATTTGTCCACCCCTTTCCCACAATTAATTAGTAGGCCAGAGCAGAAGCAAAGGCTCCTGGACCTGGTGCTACATCTTCCTCTTACCCAGCATGCCCTTCTCCGTCGCCACTCACCAAGCTCCGCAGCAGTGTCCTCCAGCCATGCTGTTTGGCCCCGCTGTGAACCTTCCAAGCCAGCAGCAGAAGCATCATGGAAGCCAAGAGGGCGTTTTGCACCCAGCTGAAGAAGACATCGGTGGCCAGCTCCAAGGAGATGTGGATCCATCGCACCACGTCCCACTGAATCTTCTTGAGGCAGAAGAACCAGCCCAACAGCCCAACGCGCAAGGAGAGGAGCTTCAAGTAGAGGGCGCTAGGCTTGCCTTGCACTGCCCCGCGTCGGGTCCTGCCGATGGACGCTGGAGGCCGGGACGCCGGATCAGGATCCTTGTCAGGAAAAGCCTGGTCTTCTGGGAGGGTTTGACAGGCGGCCGGCTCCATCAAGTATTAAGGCTTGCCCGGGGAGGGTTGCAGCAGCAATGCAGTGCAACTGAGAGAGCTTTGCAGTGGACTGTGGGTAAAGGAGGAGCAGATTTACCATCTCTCTCACACACAAGAAGCTGCCTTATACTGAATCAGACCATCGATCGATCATGGCCAGTACGGTGCTTTCACACATGCTAAATATTGCCGTTTCAATCCATTTCAGCGACCGTGCACTGAAAGTGGACTGAAAGCATGCCAACTGAGTGTGTGTGAAAGCGTTACTGGCAGCGGCTCATCAAGAAAGCGATCTTTCACGTCACCTACTGCCTCATCTTTTTAACTGGAGATGCCGGGGATTGACCCTGGGACCTTCTGCACGCGAGGCAGAGGCTCTTCTGCTGAATCACGGCCCTTCCCCTAATGAACAAGCAACGCTTGTCCCCAAGACCTCAGGCAAAGGAACACAAATGAAGTTGCCTTATACTGAATCAGACCCTTGGTCCATCAAGGTAATTATTGTCTATTCAGACCAGCAGCAGCTCTCCAGGGTCTCAGGCAGAGGTCTTTCCCATCACCTCCTACCTGCTTGTTTCACCTGGAAGTGCTGAGATCTGAACCTGGGACCTTCTTCATGCCAATGTATTCAGGTACATGCAGCTAGCTGTCTCAAAGGACAGCGCTTGCCGCCTGAGGGAAGATGACAGTGAGGCGTAAGTCCGCCTACAACTCCTAGCACCCCTGCAGCATAATGGTTACAGTGTCAAACTAGGACCCGTTCAAAGCCCCACTTGCCCACGAAGCTCATTGGTTCACCGGGAGCCTCTCTTTGAACCTGTCATATCACATCATGGAGGAAGGACAAGATAAAACGGTGATTGAGAGCGCTATGGACCTTGTGCTGGGTGCTGTACACATCCCTCAGAGGACTCACCTGTTTGCTGAATGGTGGGAACCAAAAGGACCTCCTTGTCGAGACATCTATTAGCCACCAACCAAATTCCCAAGGAAGTCGCTTTGAAGGGGTTTTGTAAGCCAACTGCTTTTTGAAGGGCTAGAGATGTCAGAAACTACCTCCAAGCATAGTGCAAATTGTCCAGCCAGCTTCAAAGACCTGGGTCTTTTTGTGACGTCACAGAAGAGATTGCGTCTGACGTCACATCCAACTACTAGGCTCCTCCCAAGGCCTCAGATGCCACTCTCTCCTCCTCCTGCGAACTCTGCATAGACAATACAGGAGCACCTTTGTCCGGTTGCCGTGGAGATTGGTACCTGTCGCCCTGGTTGCCATGGCAGCGGAGACAGAGCCATTATCCCGCCTTCCGAAGATGCCCAGATGAGCTGCTGCCTGATGTGCTGTGTTTAAATTAGGCCAAAAATGGATTGCCTTCCTGGAAAGAGGGGAAGAGTCCAAAGGCGCCTGTTGCAAGCGCTTAGTGTCCATGCTCAATCCTGCCCCATATCAATCTCATATAAAATCTCGCCTTCTTAACGCCCTAAGGATGCTTGGAGTTGGCATTTATCATAAAAGTTTGAACATTTGCTGTGCAATCCTTTGCAAAGTTATTCCTGCCTCGGGTCCATTGAAATCGGTGTGCTTAAACCGGAGTGACTCCGCAAAGGGTTGCATAGGGAATTAATTTCTTTAATCAAGGTATCTCTCGCGGTTTTGACCCAAAACAGGCTTCGGGCGGCCCACCAAACTCCCAAAGACCGTGCGGTCATTTAATTTTAATATTAAAAGATAATCTAACGGGCGGGGCTAGGCGTGGTAAACGTTCAATCCAAATTAAAAGCCGACGATTAATTCTATAAAAGAGCCAAGATTAATCTTGAAAAGAGTCTCACAGGCTTCCGCCAACTCCAGCTGAGAGGACTCAAGAAAGAAAGAAACAAAACACGCAACGTATTGATTTCTCATCGAGAGGGCGGGACGCAGCCCTGCAGGCAAATTAAATCGAGCCCGTGGCTGGGCTTTGCGTTTAAGCCGCGCCCAGACAGCAGATCCATCGGGCGCAGCAGAGGCTGGGAAAGGGAGCCGCCTTCTCCGGGAGGGCCGGCCTAGAGGCGGTCAATGGGGGCAGGAAAAGACCGGCCCCCCGGCGCCATGGCTGCCTCCAGCAGTCGGAGCCTTGCCGAAGTGCAGCGCCGCGTTTCCGCGGTCCATCACGGAACGGACCCGGAGGAGCAACTGCGCTTCTACGACGGCTGGGCCCCGGACTATGAGCAGGTGCTTCCCCAAGTCACCCCAGCTTTACTGACCTGATTTATCACTTGTGCTCCGGAAGCGGTAACTAAAGAGCACGTGCAGAGGGCATTTCCCTTCCTGCATGCAAGTGTAGCTGGCTTTTTGCAAAGCGTTGGGAGATTCGTGGAGGGGATGCGTGTCCGTAGTTATGGGCTGCAACAGTTAAATGGAACCTCTGTGTTCAGAGGCAGTCTATCTGTCAATGCCCGGGGATACAGCACGAAACAAGAGGAGCAGCCCTCACCTTCATACCCTGCTCTAGAGCTTCCCAGTGACTGGCCAGCTTTGGGAATGGGCTAGGGTTGCCAATCTCCAGGAGGGTCCTGGAGAACACCTGGAATTACATCTGATTTCCAGGTGACAGAAATCAGTTCCCCTGGAGGGAGTGGCTGCTTTGAAGAGCGGATCCTGTGGCATTCTAGGTCATTGAGCTCCGCCTCCCACCTCAGGCTCCACCTCCAAAATCTTGAGGGATTTCCCAACCCATTGTTGGCCACCCTAAGGGGCTTGGTCTGATCCAGGCAATGTTTGTGTTCTTAATTTAAACAGTGAAAATTGTTTTCATAACCGGGAACACAGGAAGCAAGAGTCAAGACAATGCCCCTGAGCATGTACAGTGAGCTTTCCTTTGATCACTAGGAAAGTATAGCCCAACCATCCGTCAGGGTTGTGAGATTATAGGAAAGGCCTTACAGGAAGGATGAAGGAGGTGTCTTCCTAGAACACGCGCACCCACGCTTCCCTCCACATCTCTCCTTGTGGTGAGTAAGTACTGGCTTGCAACAGTCTTATTCTTCCCCTCCACATCTCTCCTTGCGGTGAGTAAGTACTGGCTTGCAACAGTCTTATTCTTCCCCTCCACATCTCTCCTTGCGGTGAGTAAGTACTGGCTTGCAACAGTCTTATTCTGAATTAGAAGCCAATCATTTGACAGCCCTCTAGTTCAAAACGGTTGTTTCTTGTGGACTAGAAGCTTAGTTCCTAATAGTGTAGCTGACTGTGTGTTTTGTTACCATACAACCCAGATCATGTCTCCAAATATAGGGGGAAATATAAGTGATCGTTACGTGGATTTAGTTACCCGTTAACAAGAATTTTATTGACAAGCATCTGTCTGGTAAAAGAACATCAAAAAAAGTATGTTTTGCACTCAGCCCACCCACCCACCCACCCACCCCAAGCAGAAGGGCCAGAGAAGGGAGCTGCTTGCATTCAAAAGGTCAGGAATAATTCCACAGGATTAAAAGGGAACGATCTCCTACCATTTGGCCATAAATATTTATACGGAAAATGTCTGCCCTGATTTTGGCATGAAGCCCTCCAGGTGGCTTATGGGACAGAATACAAACCCTCCCCGAAGGGAAACGGAAAAACAAAAACAGCAATAAAGCTGGACAATATAAAGAAGATTATTAGTGAATGGCTATTGCTATTAATCAATGAGAACGGAAAGGCACGCAATACCAAGAACAATTAAACGGCACCACTGAAAGCTCAAGAGAAGAGAAAAACTTTGGTATCTGAATGGGTAACCAAGGTGGCTGCGAGTCCACATAAAGGGAGGGAATTCCTTAACCTCAGTGCCAACACAGAAAAGTCCCTGTTTCTGGTAGCAACCCACCTTGCTTCCAAAGGCAGGGCACTCAAAGACGAGCCTTCTATTCAGATTTTTGGCAGGTGGGGCCGGTTTATAGAGGAAAAGGCAGTCTTGTAGTTGCTCACGCCCCTTAGGGTAACAGCAGCACTTTGAATTAATTGAGCCCTGGAATGAAGTGGGAGGCAGCAGCAGTCGTTTAACCCTGGTTCAACCCATGGCAGTCAACCCTCGTTCACAATCTGTCTGCTGCATTGTGCACCTCTCAAAGTTTCCAAGTGCTTTTCAAAGGTAGCCCTGCATGCCAGCATGGTACTCATGCCTCAGTGTTACCAGAGCATGGGTGAGCATGGTGCCGAACTTAGTACAGACACCTTATCGGCATAGCCCACTGCAGCCCAGAGCAAAGTTGAATGTGAATCACAACCCTTATCACCCAGCTCCCCAAAAACAAGGGAAAGTGGGACAAGCTTCGCTAAGGTCAGAAAGGATCTCCGTGTTCCCTAATGTTCCCATTGCTCTGAAGAGCAGATAAGCAAATACAATCCCTGACATACATGACCAATTAGAGAGTCTTTAATGTGTAAACTATATGTGATGTCATTTGGGGTATAAGACCTTCTGCCCTTCCTGGTTATGGCAGAATACAGCTTCAGAATTGCTGAAGTGCTAAGGTACTCAGCCCTGTGTTCCCTATTTCAATGCATTAAACAGATATTCATCTAACTCGTTGAGACTCCGACTATGTGTTTCCAATTCGGCAACGGGAGCACGCAGACAGATTTGTGTATCAAGCGTGAGGGCCTTGCAGAAAGAAACGGGCTTGTTTTGCTCGGCTTTTGAGAGAAAAAGACACTTCTTACAATTCAGAGGAAAGCTTTAAACTTGGCTGCGCAGATAGCTGCATATGAGCCAGGGGTCCACCCCCCCCTTCCCCCACCCCCAGCTTTCACGTCTTGTATGTGCATTAGCAATACTGGCTCTAAGGACACTCCTTTTCAGGGGTGTGCAGCTGCCTCCAACACAGGTTGGACGGATCCTGCTCCTGTGGTTTGATAAGCAGTGCAAGCCTCCATCCTGGCTGGCATCCATCCTTTGAAACCTTCTTATCTCCCATCCTCCCATTTTGCCCCATTTCCCTTCTTTTATCTGACCTGTTTTGAGCACCAGGGGCGGTTACCGTGTCTCAATCTCAGCCAAGACTCACCCCCAACATGTTTCCTGATCTCGGACTCTGCTCTGGAACGTGCAGAAGATAAAGAACGCGGACTGCTCTGTTTCAAGGCAAAGTACAAATCCCCGCGTAGTCATAATCCTTTCTTGGTGGCCTTGAGCCGAATCTCAGTTTACTATCACAATTAAGTATAGAGCGTCATAGCATAGAGAGCCAATTTGGTGTAGTGGTTATGTGCGCGGAGAACCGGGTTTGATTCCCCACTCCTCCACTTGCAGCTGCTGGATGACCTTGGGCAAGCCAGAGTTCTGTCAGAGGTGTTCTTGAAAAGAGCAGTTTCTGTCAGAGCTCTCTCAGCCCCACCTACCTCACAGGTTGTGGGGAGGGGAAGGGAAAGGAGTTTGTGAGCCGCTCTGAGACTCCGAGTGAAGGGTGGGGTATAAATCCAAACTACTACTACTACTCTTAAAAAAAAAAACACTTCTGATGAATTCACCAGCTCAAACAGCTGCCTGACACTTTTCTCCTGTAGGACGTGACTGTGTTGCACTACCAAGCCCCCCAATTGGCTGCTTCCTGCCTGGCCTCGGTGTTCCAGGGTTCCATCGCAGATGCTCTGGTGCTGGATGTGGCTTGTGGCACAGGGCTTGTGGCCCAGGAGGTAATGGGGTCCCCTGTCTCACCTGGGGTTGCATCTTAGTCTGGGCTCTTGGGAGCAGTGTTCCCTCTAAGCTGGGTTAGTGTGAGCTAGCTCACAGTTTTTTAGCCTCCAGCTCACACATTTTTGTCTTAGCTCAGGAAGGAGGGCTCCAGAGCAAACTAATTGATGCAGTGGCCAAATCGCTCACTCACAACTTTAACGCCAGTAGCTCACAAAGTAGAATTTTTGGTCAGAAAACTCCACACCTTAGAGGGAGCATTGGTTGGGAGGCTTACCAAGTGCCCACTAATGGTGCGCAATCTCCTGGTAATTGTGGCTGATGCCCACTGACAGCAGTGCCTGTACTATTACATCACTATTGGTTCCTGGCAGTGTTCCCTCTAAGCTGAGTTAGTGTGAGCTAGCTCACAGGTTTTTAGTCTCCGTGTCTTAGCCCAGGAAGGATGGCTCCAGAGCAAACTGATCTATGCAGTAGCCAAATTACTTGCTCACAACTTTAATGCCAGTTGCTCACAGAGTAGAATTTTTGCTCACAGGACTCCACAGCTTAGAGGGAACATTGGTCCTGGCTACATTGGATTTTTCTGACCAAGTGAGAAAGGTACACAATTGAACCATTACTATAGGAAGGTGTACCTGACCATGGCAGCAAACCAGCAAGAATGAGGCCTCTGATTAATACCTTTGCCTTTGGTCTCAGGCAATAAGCATGTAAAAATTTCATCTTGGTCAATTTATAAGAAATGATTACTACATTGTGATGTCAGAAGCTATTCTGTAATATCCTTTGTTTGACCACCAAGGAAGGCTGATGGGCCAAAATGTGTATGGTCAGGGTCAGTAATGGTCAGTTTTGGCTGTTACTGTACAATTTGATTCTTAATTGAGGCTATCACCAGGGCCAGTATCTGTTTTTTAATCTACTTCGTAATAAGTCCGTGTATATTGTTGTATATCTGTCAACATGTAATGTTTTTAATTTGACTAACAGAATTATTGGGCCGATACATTCAGATCTTCTTAACCTTTGGGTTCTGAAAACAATGCCCGTAGACCGGGGTCCAAGTAGCACCCCCAAGCTACAAACCAAAGGCCCAAACCACCATCCACGTAATACCCTTTACTAAGATCTACCCAATGACATGTCACAATGTGCAAGCTTTCGGGTTCCCCAGAACTCTTCCGCAGACCAAAAGATGTAAAGCAAATATTCACAAGCTCCTGGTGTAAAGATCTGCCCAGGCTGGCACATGGTGGAAATGGTGGCAAGCCAAGAAGATTAGGCATTGAGCTGTTATAAGCCAAGGGCCATAAAAAGCAAGAGGCAGTCAAGCAATTCAACTCTGTAGCAACAGTTCCATAGCAACGTGATTTGTGCCATGTTCTAAGCTGCAGGCAAGGGGTTTCTGCTGTTTCCATGGCCTGGACGGAAGCCATGGGATGTTGGAACTTGCACGCCGGAAGGAGCTGTACCAGGAGCTGAAGCAGTGCATGCTGGGCCAGGAAGCCTTGCCCGCATCCTCAGGTAACACAGCCAGGAAGGAGCTGGAAGTGGGAAGGAGAGGCTGAGGTGGACAGGAAGCTCTCTCTCAGGGGATTGCTTCCTTTCACTCCCTCCTCGCCTTCTTCTTCCTCGCGGCTGAGCATCATTCCTTCCACCCCAGGCTTCTACGATGCCGTTCTGATCGTAGGGGCTCTCAGTGAAGGGCAGGTGCCCACCAGCGTCATCCCAGAGCTGCTTCGTGTCACCAAACCAGGTAAGGGCTTTGGCAAGACAAGCTTGATTTCTGGGGGAACCCAGGGAGGACAGGGATTCATCGGGACACTTGGCAGAACTGGGGTGGACCAGATATCCACCCAGCCCAGCACAGAACCCCCAACAGCGGCCAGCGGTAGAAAGATGCAGTCAGGTCAGGAAACAGCCAGGCCTGTGGTTTGTCTCTGGTGGCTGGTGATCTGAGGTAGCTTGCTTCTGACTACAGGAGTGCCGTTCCACACTGGTTGAAGATGGTTTGTCTCCAGCAGTTGGCGATCTGTGGTAGACTGCCTCTGACCACAGAGGCTCCATTCCAGACTCGCTCTCTTCTGTGGCTCTTGGAAGGATAACATTCCTCCGCCCTACATCCTGAGGAATCTGTGCTCCTTAAGGACAGAAAGCGAGGCAGGCTCATTCCCTTTCCCTGCCTTCCCATTTCTCTCACCTGTAGGGTCCCAGCTACTTTGCAGGACAGATGCAGTGGGAAGCTGGCAGTTTTGGAATTCATTAATTTGACTGCATTCCCAGGTTTGGTACACGCGGCAAGGAAACTAGTCGCTGTTAAGATCTTTGTTGCGTGCAGCGGAGGTATTGTTTGTCGCTCAGGAGACTCAGGGCTCGGTTTCCATTGTCTTCTGTTGCCGCAGCCTTAAGGCGCAGAGGCCTCTGGCTGTATGGCTGATTTGTAGACCGTAGCCGGGGCCTTCAATACTATAAAATAAGCTGTGGAAAGAGAGAACTGTACATCGGGGTTGAAAGGAGGGGCCAGTCCGATTAACTGAAAGCAATAACTACCTGTAAACCCTGATTCAATGCCTGAGAAAATCTGCTGAATGTATTAACGGCTCCCACTTCCACAGACTTTTCTTAATTTAATTTAGTATTCTGTGGCATTTTTAACCCAGATGCTGGACAATCTCTGACCCCTTCTTGTAGCTCAACAGCAGCTGCGGGAGACACCCAGGTCTGGATCCAGGCTGTGAATTAGGGAGGTGGGGATTTACTCTTTTTTTTTTTCCCTGGCCTTCTGTAGCCCCCAGAGGAGCTGGTATTTGGCCTCTGGAGGAAATATTGCTTTTTCCTTCAGTGGGGCATAGAGCAGCTCCAAGGATCAGGAAAACATCCCAGATGCTGTGCTTGATGGGGGCCCTCTTTGGTCCGATGCAGCAAGACAGTCAGGATTTGGTGTCTGCGGTCACTAGATGGTGCTACTGCCCTGAGAGGCTTTTCTAAGTAGGCTGTTGACTGGGAGCTGGGGAAGGTGGACAGCTAAGTCGGCTTGTTTGGATCAGCTTCCCTTGTCTTCCCTGCGGCCTAGCTCTGCCCAGAGAGATTTCCAGGCCTTAATCTCTTGCTGTGGTTGAATCTTGCTCCTGCAGGGGAAACACGGAAGGATTGGGGGGGGGGGGGGGGGAGTCTCTGCTTCCAGTTCACAGGAAAGGGACAAGGCCGGAATGGATGGGTAGATGGTATGCTGAGGTGATGGTGGTGGTTTGGGTTGGGCCAGAGGCCCCTGACCTTTTTGAGCCTGTGGGCAGCTTTGGAATTCTGACAGAGCATTGTGGACGCAGCCCCGAACGATAGGGTTGCGAAGTCTGAAGTGGCGCTGGAGCGGGGGACTCCAGTGCCGGTCCAGGAGTGTGTGTGCGCTCGCGAAGTGCGCGCGCTGCAACCACATCACTCGGAAGGGACGCGACCAGGCCGGGCACGCTGGGGCGGGGCCACGACCATCCTAGGGAAAAACATAGAGTTTTCCCTCGGATGACCGTGGCCCCGCCCCCAACGTGCCCGGTGTGGTCGCGTCACTTCCGGGTGACGTGCACGTCGCGTACTTTGGGGGTTCCCCCCGGGGCCCGATCCACCGCCGGCGGGGAACGGGCCTCTGGGGCAGGGTTTTCCCCGCCCCCCGGGGGGACTTGGCAAACCTACCGAACGAGCTGCCACAAAATGGTTGTCTCAGGAGGTGGAGCCAGCAACAAAATGGCTGCCACCGCTTCTCTTCAGTCACACAAGTGAAGCGCCTTGTGTTGTGGTGGCAGCCTTTTAGAAATCTGCACAGCTCTCTAATGGTCAATCAGAAGGCTCCACCCACTTCCTAAAACCACTTGGTGGGCTCCAGGAAAGGTGTTTGCTGGCACCGTGGAGCCCACGGGCACTACATTGGGTACCCCTGGGTTAGACAGTGTTGCTGAAGGAATAATCCTGGTTAGCCAGGATTCTCTCCCATCTGCCCTACAGTTCTTATGTGATGAGCAACTAGTTTGACCTGTGGAGGGCAGAGGCAAAGCACACCCTATGAGGGACCAGTTGGCTTCCAGACCCATTTCTCCCCAGCTCTTTTCCTCCCAGAAAGGGGGAGAAGGGATAGCACAATTCACCTCCATCTCCCTAGTGTTCCGTCTCCACGAGCGAGGAAATGCCTCAGAAAGATATTGCAAGACAAAGGCCAAGAAGAGAAGCAGCAGAGAGATGCGCAGTCTGGATTTTTCCTGCTGCCCTCCCTCTGTGTTCAAGAAGCAAGGAAGTGAGAGTTTAGCAGTACGAAGGGCCAGATATTTCCCTGCAAGGGGCCGGATTCAGGTCCAGGGCTTCTCTTGCCCACCCCCTCCCCCTGCCAGCTACATGCCTGTATGTGCCTGTGTGATGTTTGATCACCTCTTCACCTCACAGGGGGCTTTTTGTGCCTGACCACGCGGACCAACCAAAGCAACCTGTGGTACAAAAGCCAGATGCAGCAGCTGCTGGATGACCTGGAGCAGCGAGGATTGTGGGAAAAGGTCAAGGTGCAAGAAGTCAAACAGTGGGAGAGGGCGACATCGGAGCAGGAAGCCCAGGGGGGCGCAGACTACATTTCTGGGGTGATTTACCTGTACCGGAAGACTCCGAGTGTCAGCTTTTGAGGGAGTGCCTTAACCCTCTGCTTGCTGGGAGATTCCCCAAAGCGGCTTTGGTCCAGTAGGTGGCCAGGAGAGGCTCACGGGAAGAGCTGGCTTTTCCAAAGAGCTTAGTTCCAGACCCAGTTTTTCCTACCAGGACTCAGTTTGGGAACACGTGGAAGCAATAATAAAGCAAACACGTTCCTTGGGTCATAGACAGAGCGCCTTTCCTTTACCGCCACAAGCCTGTCCAGCCATACTTCTCAGGGTTGTCAGCCCCAGGTTTGGAAATTCCAGGAGATTTGGGGGCAAAGCCTGGGGGGAGTACTTGGCCGGGGTCATGATGCTGTCGAGTCCCCCTCCCAGAGCTGCCATTTCCCTCAGGGGGACTGATCCCTGTCGTCTGGAGATCAGTTGTAATTGCAGGAGGCTGGCAACCCGAAGACTTGCGCATCCGTCTCTGAAGGCGTGCCTTCCGGAGACTGCCAGCTCCTCTCTTCTGGGGGTGTTTCCAAAGTCGTATATTTGCAAAGTAAAAGTACTTGTCCTTTGAATCTCATGCTCTCCAAAATCAGAGTTGGGGCTTATTGGGTTGAGCAAAATAGACGTTCAAGGATTCCGAAAATTGAAGAGTGGATTAAGAAACTGTTGTTTGCAGTTGAAATGGACAAAATGACAAGGAAATTGAATAACATGGAAGCAGAAGAGTTTTTTAATGATTGGAAAGATTTAAAAGAAGCATTGGGAAGTAAAAGGCAATTTATTCTGTTTTGAGAATTATTGAATACAGAACTTTTTAGAGTTTTTCTGAGAGTTATGATAGGTAAAGAAATAATTGTGATAATGAAATAAGAGTTACCTAGTGAACTATTGGAAAAAAATGTAATGGAAACAAAAAGAAATTAGAAGGGAGTAAACAGGAGGTTGAAGAAATTAGAAGTAAATGTGCAGGAGGTCGGAGCACTGTGGGAAGTCGCATATAAGGGAGGGGAAAAGGGAGGGGGGATAGATGTAACAGGGATAAATGTAGAAAATTTAATGCTGATTATGATTCCCCACTCCTCCGCTTGCACCTGGCTGGATGACCTTGGGCAAGCCATAGTTCTGATAAGAGCTATTCTCGAAAAAGAGCAGTTTCTGTCAGAGCTCTCTCAGCCCCACCTAACAGGGTGTCTGCTGTGGGGAGGGGAAGGGAAAGGAGTTTGTAAGCCACTCCGAGACACCTTTGGGTAGTGAAGGGAGTAGCAGGGAAAGAAGGCTGCAGTGCTGCCACCTACTGTTCACCTTCTACTTCCCCCCCCCCTTCTCATTTCCATGCCCCGAAATCCCAAGTAGGGGAAGCAAATCTGGCTTTGCCTCTTTCTCAGTTGTATTTCTGATACTTCCCTTCACCTGCAGAGCAGCTAATAGAAAAGACCCGTCTAGCCCCAATCTAACAAAAGCCAGTCAAGTCACCTCTGGGTGCTCCCAAGCAGGTTGCGTCTATCGCCTGGTGTTTGTCCCCAGCATCTGATATACTGCCTCTTTACATGGAGGTGCTGTTTAGTTTTGAAAGGGTTGGGGGTGAAAGGAGGCAGCAGCTCCCCTTCTTTCTGAAGGCACCAGATAGAGATTAGATATACCATTTTAGATACGCCATCTTGATGAAAGATTTTGTTTAGAACATCTAGAGCACTTATGTTTTCTGTAATTTTTGTAATTTTGTAACAATGGTTTTATGGTTTTAACGGTTTTATGTGTGGCGTATGCCTAACTGTGAGCCGCCCTGAGCCTGCATTGCGGGGAGGGAGGGCTATAAATTGAAATTATAAATAAAATAAAATAAAAAGATTGGATGGAGTAGGGATGTTTCCCAAAGTGTTCACTGCTTTTGGGGTGTGCTGCGAACCAGCAGCTGCATGCTTCACTAAGAAGAACACGCCGGAGCTGCCTCTGAGCATGTGCAAAGTGTATATCTGTCCAAACGTACACTGCCTATACAGCTGCAGTTTATGGCGCAGGGCTGAGACTCACTTTTCTGGTGCCATTGTCCTGTAGGGGGAGGGGCTTGTCCTTAAGCTGTGAGGGAACACCTTGTCCCTCTGCTTGCGGAGAGTCTTCTTGGGGAGTGGAGTACGAACAAGGAGCCATCACAGACAAGCCAGCACTGGCTTTTAATCCCGTAACAGGCGAGAAAGTGTCAAGGTGTAGTGGGGGAAGTATCGGACTGCATCCTGGGAGACCTGGGTTCGAATCGTCATTTCTACCACGGACGCTCACTGACCTTGGGGCCAGCACAAACTCGCAGCCTGGCCTACCTCACAGGGTGGCTGTAGGAAAATGGAGGAGGGGCAAACAGTGTTCTAAGCCCCCTTTGAGTCCTAGCCGGGGAGAAAAGCGGGATACTTTTATGTGCACGTACATTTGGAAAATGGACTTCGTAAACCCGAAGTTGTGAAGGATGCCAGAATGTGTGGCTGAGGCTTTTTCTTCTTTTAAGCAAAAACCCAAACATGACTACCCCTGACAAAGGCTTTGTTCTGCGGACAGAGGGCAGTCCCATTTGGAGTCACCAGACTGGTTCCCCCAGCGGGTTTATGACTCCATTGGCTTACATGTGGGCAGGAAGAAAGAGCGTGGAAGGGAAGCGCCCCCTCGATAGTGGCTTAGCTTAATAACAAGCAGAGGGCCATAAACGAAATCCCGGAGGCTGAACCAGATCCACCTAGAGAACGGCAGAGTGCTGTGTGACAACAGACGGGCCCTCTGTGTGACGCCGGCCAGAAAGTCTTTGAGACAAATTAGTGGCACTGTTCTCCCAGACAGCATGGCAGGGGGCAGGGCTATTTTTGGGCAGGAATGCACAGGAATTAGGATTGGCTACATTAGGGGTGTGTTGCCTAACATGCAAAGGAGTTCCTGCTACCAAAAAAGCTCTGGGTTTTGACAACAAACAAGGTAAACAGAATAAGAAGCAAAAGGTGGGTGTGGCTGGATGACCACACTTCTGGTAACATGTGGGTGTGACCTAATATGCTAATGAGTGGTGCTGTCAGGGGTGTGGCCTAATGTGCTAATGAGTTTCTGCTATTGGGTGTGGCCTAATATGCTAATGAGTTCCTGCTGGGCTTTTTCTACAAAAAAAGCCCTGGCAGGGGGTAAACCAGTGCCTGGACCATGGGCAGAGCAGGACATTAAAATGGCCCAACAGCAAGAACTGCCGGGAATGACAGGCATCGGCTCACCCGTGGAGCAAGAGGAGCCAAGAAGTGGTGTCGTGCTCACTTTTGCCACTGTTGGCCAGGCCTGAACTGAGTGGCCCCTCCAGTGGGGGCAAAGCCCGTCAGGCCCGGCTCTGTTTGTTCCTGCCTGCTGGTGGCCCCTCCTGGGCAGAGGCCTGCAGTGAACTTTCCCTGTCAGTTAAGTAGCCAGCCCACTTCAGGCTTGGACTGTACCACATCTGACACTCACACTGCGCCCGTCTAAGTCCACCGGCATAGAACCATTGGCACCTTTCCTCTTGTGTGTGTGTGTGTGTGTGTGTAAAGTACCGTCTAGTCACAGCTGATTCATGGTGACCTCATATGGTTTTTAGGGCAAGAGATGTTTCAGGGGTGGTCTGTCACTGCTTGTCTCTGCGTAGCAACCCTGGACTTCCTTGCTGGCTTCCCACCCAAGTGCTAACTAGGGCCAACCAATCCTGTTCTGCTTCTGAGATCTGACAAGATGGGGCTGTCCTGGGCCATCCTCGTCAGGAGGACAACTTTTCCCTTGGCATGTCAGATTTCTATGCGCAGGGGTTATTTTAGTTTACAGAGGAACATTCCCTTTTACAAGCCTCCAGCCTGCAGTGCAGTCCAGACCAATGTTTCCTCTAAACTGAGTTAGTGTGAGCTGGCTCACAGTTTTTTAGCTTCCAGCTCACACACTGTTGTCTTAGCTCAGGGAGGATGGCTCCAGAACAAACTGATTTATGCAGGAGCCAAATCGCTTGCTCACAACTTTAGTGCCAGTAGCTCACAAAGTAGAATTTTCGCTCACAGGACTCCACAGCTTAGAGGGAGCATTGGTCCAGACTCTCCCTCTTTGCTGTTTGGGAGAACCAGTTTTTAGCCAGCCCAAGGAAAACTGAATATAACAGAAGAAGCACCCCAAATTCATGCCACAGGAAGTGGTGGCGGCTACAAGCATGGACGGCTTCAAAAGGGAGATAAGCATATGGAGCAGAGGTCCATCAGTGGATATTAGCCACAAGGTATAGATAGGGGCTCTGGGGCAAGTGATGCTCTGTCTTCTTGGTGCTTGGGGGGGTCAACAGTGGGAGGGCTTCTAATGTCCTGGCCCCACTGCTGGACCTCCTGATGGCACTGGTATTTCTGGCCACTGTGTGACACAGAGTGTTGGACTGGATGGGCCTTTGGCCTGATCCAACATTGGCATCTCTTATGTTCTTATGTTCTTATTTGATTAAAGCAGCAAGCCATTTTAAAAAGGAAATCTAGGTGAACTGGAATAGATTGCATTTCCCACCACCGCTTAGATGGCAATCCCATTTTGTTTTCTCTGGCTCTTGAGGGAAAATGGAGCTTCCGGAAAGAAGCAGAGGTGTGCTTTCAGCTTTACTGCTTGTTTTAATGTTTTTATAACCTCGCTAAATGTTATATTAGGTGACTTCAGGAAGGTGGGAAAAGACAGAATGTTCCAAAGTGGCAACGGACGGACGGGTGTGGTGAAAACCTGTTAATTATTGCCAGAGTCTATTCGTTTTGTACTGCTTCAAAAGGGGAATAAAATTTTAAAGGGCAGAAGACACATACACACATGCATCCAAGATCATGAGGACAAAACGCCTGGCGGAGAGAGTACACAGTGACAGAAAGTGCAAGCTGGGAAGGGCCTTTGAATCACACAGCTCTGTATAGGCCAGCGGCACTTTTGTGTGTGTGTTTGCATGCCTGGAAGTCATGGCAGCTTCTGGCAACCCCAGTGGGGTTTGGATGTTTCAGAGAGGTGGCTTGATAACCTGCCTCTGCCTCCCGGCCCCGGTATTTCTTGGAGGTCTCCCTTCCAAGTACTTGCCAGGGTCAACCCTGCTTAGCTTCCAAGATCTGATGAGATCAGGCTTTCCTCGGCTATCCAGGTCAGGGCCCAGTTAGCTTTTTATGGTGCACTCCAGTTCTGGGATTCTGCTGCATACAATTGTTATAAAATATAATTTGCTGTCATTCAGCCTGGACAAGGGGAGGAGACGAGTTAGGCCCCCCCAAGACTTCCAGCAACACTAGAACTGACCCAGGACCAGTGTTCCCTCTAAGCTGAGTTAGTGTGAGCTAGGTCACAGTTTTTAGCCTCCAACTCACACACTTTTGTCTTCGCTCAGGAAGGACGGTTCCAGCACAAACTTAATTTATGCAGTAGCCAAGTCGCTCGCTCACAACGTTAATGCCAGGAGCTCACAACGTAGAATTTTTGCTCACAAGACTTCACAGCTTAGAGGGAGCATTGCCCAGGACATTTGCCCCCAAAGTCTTATAGTGTGGGATCTAAGGGCGCCTCCTCTTTGCCCAGATGCTTGGTTTGCAGTCCAGAAGTTACGGCTTTTGCTGACAGCTGGGTCTTTAAAGGAAATCCTCAGCTACGGAGGCTTAGTAGGATCTGTTTCTTCTCCTTTGAGTCAAGACAGTCGCCGCTTTTTTGCACCTGTCTCTGTGCTCAGGGCGCGCCCCTCCTCCCGCGAGCCCTCCACTTTTTAGAATGAACTGTCTGTATTAAAATGCCGAATTAAGCACAGCTGGGGACACGCTCTTTTTTCGTGGCACAAACACTGCTGCCACGTGCAATCGCCAGTCAGACGGCATAAGAAAAAACTTTTCACACAAGACATCTCTGGGGACAGCAGAATAACTGGATGTGTGCAGAAAAACCCAGAAGACCAGGAAACAAGCAGATAGTACCTCGGATATTTTTTTTTGAAATGTTTGTTTTTAAATGCCCAGTTATGCACAGCTAGGACATCCAGTCCATTCGCCTTGTCAATCAGAGGGCATGAGAATAAACTTTCATGAGACAGGTAAGTACCACAGGTTTTTAAAAGGTTTGTTTTACACTGCCGAGTTACGCGACTAGGACACACGCCCCTTTCACATGGCCTAAGCACTGCTGGTGTGTAGAATCATCAGTCGGAAGGGCATGAGAATAAACTCACGAGACAGATAGTACCACAGGTTTTTAAAAGGTTTGTTTTAAAATGGCAAACTACACAGCTAGGATACAAGCTTCTTTCACATGGCATAAACATTGCTGGTGTGTACAATTGCCAGTCAGAGGGGCAATAGGAGAATAAACTTTCGTGAGACAGATCGTACCACAAACTTTCATGAGACAGATCGTACCACAAACTTTCATGAGACAGATCGTACCACCTGAAGAACTGGGTGAGAAGGAGGACTACCTGCTCCCATTGCTAGATGGAGGACAGTGTAGTGGAGCAGCAGTGACCACCACATTGATAGGGATGGGAGTGAGGACGAGGCAGTGGGAAATACACACACACCCATTTGTCACACAAGGCCACCGCCTCACCGCGCCTCACACTCTTAAGGCATATCTGTACCAGGCCCGTAGCTAACGCGGGGCCTGTAGGGCCTGGCCTCCTAGCATTTCTTCTGGGTCCCCTCTCTCCAGGGCCAGTCCCAAATTGAATTAATGTGATTAATTTTGATTTAATTAGCTGAGACCCCGCCAGGCCCCCTCCCCCCAAAATCCCTTCCTACGGGGCTGATCTGTACTAAGGTACAGTGTGCTGTCGAGTCGCAACTAGCTCATGGCCACCCCGTGAAGTCCCCCCCCCCGTGGGGTTTCCAAGGCAAGAGATAAGAGGAGGAGGAGGAGGAGATTGGATTTATACCCCGCCCTTCACTCAGAGTCTCAGAGCAGCTTACTTCCCACAACAAGTCGACCTGTGAGGTAGGTGGGTCTGAAAGAGCTCTGAGAGAACTGCTCTTGGGAGAACAGCTCTGAGAGAACTGTGACTGGCTCAAGGTCACCCAGCTGGCTGTCTGTGGAGGAATGGGGAATCAAACCCAGTTCTCCGGATTAGAGTTTGCCACTCTTGACCACTACACCACAGCTGGCTCTCAACCAGGCAGGGGTGGTTTGCCATAGCCTTCCTCTGGTATCTGTATAACAGGCTACTTAAATGTGTTTATGAATCATTCCCTCTTCCTCCTAGGCAAGTTCTTGGTCTTGAGGGATCTCTCGGCTGGGGTGTCTAAAAGAAGCTTCTCTCAAAACTTCAGTTCCCGGTAGGGTTGCGAGCAACTGGGAGAGAAAAATACACCTTGCCCCTTAATGTGTGAGAACGGACTTTTGAAGCTTTTTGTGGCACAGGAGTAAATATCACCAGGTAAATAGCTTCCCTTTAAGGGACGTTCAAGGGGCAGGACTTTTCTTCTCTCCAGGTTGATGGCAACCCTAGTTCCCAGGATTCTCTGGGGAAAGCTGTGCTAGCGAAAACAATATAAAACACATACTCATTGTGTAGCAGGATCTATTTCCACTAACAGCATCGATATGTTCCGCAAATCACACAAGAATGGGCTGGCATGGACCGTTTCCTCAGCGCCAAACACCCTCCACGCTCGAGCTGTGAGAGAGAGATGTGGAGGGTTTGGGAACACCGGTTGAGCATCAGTCAGCCTCTGTGATCTCCCTTTGCCTGTCAGAGTCCCGGAGAAAGGAGAGGTCCTCCGTGAGGTACAGAGGGAGAGTCGCTTTCTGAAGGAAGCTACACATAGTCCTTCCGGGCATAGCTCCCCGGGTTGGAGTGTTTTGCCACACAATATCTCACCAGGTGGGGTTTCTTGTCCTTGTTTTGAGGGAAGAGGCAGCAGAGAGTGGATCCCCCAAACACCAAGAGGGCACTGGCCGCCCAGCCCACATACAGCGCGATGCCCAGCTCTCGTTTCAGGGCTTCGGGCACCAGCGGGTTGTAGAAGTTGCTGATGATGGAGCTGGCCGACCAAGACACGGGAACCAGAAGAGCCAGCCCTGCCAGGATGAAGACCATGCCGGCCACCGCCGAGACCTTGGCCTTGGCGCTCCTGTCCTCTATGCAGCGGGTGCACTCGGCACCAGCGATGGCGATGAGGAGGGCCAGGAAGGCCATGGCGATGGAGACCACCACGAGGGCACGGGCGGCCTGCAGGTCCGACGGGAGGTCCAACAAGGAGTCGTAGATCTTGCACTGCATCTGGCCGGTGCTCTCGTAGACGCAGTTCATCCATAGGCCTTCCCAGAAGACCTGCGCCACGATGATGTTGGAGCCGATGAAGGCCGTCATCTTCCACATGGGCAGGGCGCAGGCCAAGATGGCCCCCAGGCAGCCCAAGACCGACAGGGCCAGCCCCACCAGCTGCAAGGCCAGGACCGCCATGGCTGGAAGAGAGCACAGGGGTTGGTGAGGAGGAACAGGTAGGGCTGATGGAGAGGGGTGTGAATAGGGTTGCCAATCGCCAGTTGGGGGCAGGGGGTCCCCTGGTTTGAAGGCTCTCCCCCCACTTCAGAGTTATCAGAAAGTGGGCGGGGGGAATGTCTGCTGGGCACTCCATTATACCCTATGGAGACCGGTCCCCATAGGGTATAATGGAGAATCAATCCATAGGTATCTGGGGCTCTGGGGAAGCTGTTTTTTGAGGTAGAGGCACCGGATTTTCAGCATAGTGCCTGGTGCCTCTCCTCAACCTCCCCCCCCCCAGTTTCAAAAAGATTGGACCAGGGGGTCCCATTCTATGAACCCCAAAAGAAGGTGCCCCCATCCTCCATTATTCCAATGGAGGGAAGGCATTTAAAAGGAGCACCGTCCCTTTAAATGTGACGGCCAGAACTCCCTTTGGAGTTCAATCATGCTTCACCCTCCCCTCTCCCGGAGGCTCCTGGAAAGTCCCCCAGCAGCTTGTTAGCCTCAACTGACAACCCTAGGTGTGAATCCAGTCCTCCTCACCCCCGCACCACCACAATTTATTTTTCTTTTACTTCATTTATACCCCACCTAAGCCACCTTACATCCTTCTCCTTTCTTCCATTTTATCCTCATAACAACCCTGTGAGGTAGGTTAGGCCGTGAGTGTGTGACTGGCCCACAGATCACCCAGCAAGCTTCCATGGCAGAGTAGGGACTCGAACCTGGGTCTCTCAGATCCTGGTCCAACACTCTAACCACTTTGGGTTGCCAAACCCCAGGTGGCACCTGGAGATCTCCTGCTATGACAACTGATCTCCAGGCAACCAAGATCCGTTCCCCTGGAGAAAACGGCTGCGGTGGAGGGTGAACTCTGTGGCATCACGCCCTGCCGAGGCCCCTCCCCTCCCCAAACCCCACCCTCCCCAGGCTCCACCCCCCAAATCGCCAGGGATTTCCCAACCCAGAGCTGGAAGCCCTATCACCTCTACACCATGCCATCTCAATATCCTGAGCCAAACTATGTGGCAAGGAAATCACCCTGTCCCACCCATCCCTCTTCCCTCCTCTCTCTCTGCCCACATTTCCCTGTGATGCTCTTGCCTGTGATCTTCAGTCCTCCGGCTTTGCCACCCTCCAACGCCAAGTCTCCCGCTCATGTAAATGACTCTGCTCATTCATTCTCCTTTCCAGCCTCTCCCAAAACAACTATGAGGTGTTTCCCAGTCCATCCTTCCAACCTCTTTTCAAAGCCTACCTGTCCTAGGAAAACTTTGGCTTACCCTCCCCCAACCTCCTACCTCCCAACTGGCAAGCAGTTCATCCTCTGAAGGTGCCATTTTCTCCAGAGGAACTGATCTCTGTCCTCTGGAGATTCCTTGTCATTCCAGAAGAACTGTGGGCTCCACTGGAGGGCTGGCAACCCGGCCCGTAGCCAGGATTTTGTGGCTTGTGGGGCAATCTTTTTTTTCTGGTAGGGCTGCCATTATTTGCCATAATGGTGTGGGGATGCTCTTGAGAAGAAGGGGGTGTGTGGCAGCACGTGCCCCTCTCCCTCCCCTCCTGCAATATTTAAAGGGCCCTTCAGCTAATCGGCAGGGAGCTCATGGCCTGTCCGATCAGCCGGAGGGCCCTTTAAATCTTGCAGGAGGGGAGGGAGAGGGGCACGTGCTGCCACACCCCCCTTCTTCTCAAGAGCATTTAAAGGGATCCTTTAAATGCTTTTGAGAAGAAGTGGGGGGCCTTTAAGGAAGGGGGTGGAGCTCCGAATAGCCCCACCATAGCTACAGGCCAGTTGGCAACCCTCTCTGTGTAGCCCTCCCACCCAGTTTCCTCTTTAAATTAGACCCCTGCTTGACAAATGTAGGGCAGATCTGAGTTCAAATGTGTACACACACCAGATTGGTGACCATCACTTGCAGCTTTGGCTTTCAAAGAGAGATGAGACCAATTCATGGGATCGGACTGGAGGGGAGTTGAAAAATGTATTCCCTGCATATTCTCCTCCAAGACCTTCTCAGGCAGCTCACAAAATATGTCATTAAACGATGATTAAAAGGAAACCCTACTGTAGTTGGTACATTATTGATTTTTTTAAAAAATCTCAGTGGCTGTTGACCAGGCTATGAAGGCATCAGTTTCAGGGGCAAAATACCGCTGAGGGCCAGCGGCTTGGAGACAAACAACACGGCCACAGCCTTGCAAGGAGAGTGCCGTTTGGGTGTTGCTCAGGAAGAGAAGCTGTCTTGCATCATGTGTTTTGCTTTGATCCACCAGGCGCTCTTGTGAAACCTTGGGTGGCAACTGTGAGGCTTCAGAAGCCCTTTGAGGTAGTGCAGAGCACCCGAAGCAAAGGAAGAGAGGAGACCACCAAATGCAAGCTGGGTGGGAAGGGTAGAACTGCCCCAGAACAGGGAATCTCTTCACTGAACGTTTGTGGGCTACAGAAGCTGCCGTATACCAGGCGGTGCTGCTGTACGCGCCCAGAAACACAGGCTGGGCGGATTTTGCAACCGGAAAGCGATTCCGATGCTGCCTACACACCAGTTTCTGCACCCCAAATAGATTTTGCAAGCCTTGCTTTTAATCCACAGGTGACACATACTACAGGGGAGGCATACTCTAATAAGGCCTGATACTGTCCTGGTGGCATTTGCAACCTGCAGACTCTCCTCTGCCCTAGGAAGGATGAGCGCAGATTCTTGATTGACCAACCTCAGTATTGTCTCCTTGGGCTCTTCGGGGTCTCAGGAAGCTCTTTCCAAACCCCTGCAGCCCTTGAGCTGGAGAGGCCCAGAAGTAAACCAGTACCTGCCTGCAAAGCCCCTTGCTCCAGGATTGCGCGTCTCCACTGCAAATGTTGTGGGGCCAAGGCAGTCAACAGCCAGCAAATCACCTCCCCCCCTGCTGCTTTTCCCTGCTTAAGAGAACATAAGAACATAAGAGATGCCAATGTTGGATCAGGCCAAAGGCCCATCCAGCCCAACTCTCTGTATCACACAGTGGCCAGAAATACCAGTGCCATCAGGAGGTCCACCAGTGGGGCCAGGACATTAGAAGCCCTCCCACTGTTGACCCCCCCCCAAGCACCAAGATGACAGAGCATCACTTGCCCCAGAGCCCCTATCTATACCTTGTGGCTAATAGCCACTGATGGACCTCTGCTCCATATGCTTATCTAATTCCCTTTTGAAGCCGTCCATGCTTGTAGCCGCCACCACTTCCCGTGGCAGTGAATTCCAAGTGTTAATCACTCTTTGGGTGAAGAAGTACTTCCTTTTATCCGTTTTAACCCGACCGCTCAGCAATTTCATGGAGTGCCCACGAGTTCTTGTATTGTGAGAAAGGGAGAAAGTACCTCTTTCTCTACCTGCTCTTTCCCATGCATAATCTTATAAACCTCAATCATGTCACCCCTCAGTCGTCTTTTCTCCAAGCTAAAGAGCCCTAAGAACCTTAACCTTTCCTCATAGGGAAAGTGTTCCAACCCTTTTATCATTCGAGTTGCCCTTTTCTGCACTTTTTCCAAAGCTATAATATCCTTTTTAAGGTGTGGTGACCAGAACTGCACACAGTATTCCAAATGAGGTCGCACCATTGATTTATATAGGGGCATTATGATATTGGCTGATCTGTTTTCAATACCCTTCCTAATAATCCCCAGCATAGCATTGGCCTTCTTTATGGCCTTGAGCTGGAGATGCCCAGACGTAAACCAGTACCTGCCTGCAAAGCCCCTTGCTCCAGGATTGCGCGTCTCCACTGCAAACATTGTGGGGCCAGGGCAGTCAACAGCCAGCAAATCACCTCCCCCCCTGCTGTTTTCCCCTGCTTGGCTACACTGCCAAGGCAGGTTGTTTCCTTGGCCGGCTGGGGGTCCAGCTCACCGCTGGGAGTGCAGAGGATCTTGCTGGAAGATGGTCAAAGCCAAGCTGGTGATTCCAGAGCCTGTTTATCCGGCAGCTCCATTTTTTAGGGTTGCCAGCTCTGGGTTGGGAAATAACTGAAGATTTTGGGGGCAGAGCCTGAGGAGGGTGGGGTTTGAGGAGGGGAGGGACTTCAATGGGGTATAAGGCCACAGAGTCCACTTTCCAAAGCAGCCATTTTCTCCAGGTGAGCTGTTCTCCGTCACCTGGAGAAACGTTGCAATCCCTGGAGATCTCCAGCCACCACCTGTAGGTTGGCAACCCTGTCCAGCTACCAGGATGGGGAGATGGGGCTGGCACAGCCTCATGTTGTGCATGCACAGCCGCAGCCACCCCCACCCCCACACACCTGTCAATCCCAGCCTTTGGCACCCTGGCGTTTATTGCGGAGTCAATGACCCCACCGCTACCTCCAGCATGGGGCAACACCTGAGAAGGAGCAAGAGATTGTTTTATTATCTACAAGGGCCCCGAGTGGTTCCTTCCATCCCTCAGCGTTTTTTCCTCCCCTACTCTGAACTTCGGCTGCAGCCTTTTCCCGCAGGGAATCGCCACCACCGGAGGGGGAAACCCAAAGGGCTCCTGACCAAGGCTCCCTCTAAGCTGTGGAGTCTTGCGAGCAAAAATTCTGCTTTGTGAGCTACTGGCATTAAAGTTGTGAGCGAGCAGTTTGGCTGCTGCATAAATTACTTTGCTCTGGAGCCCTCCTCCCTGAGCTAAGGGGGAAATGTGTGAGCCGGAGGCTGAAAACCTGTGAGCTAGCTCACACTGACTCAGCTTAGAGGGAACACTGCTCCTGCCCCTGCCTCTGAACCCAGCACTGGAATACTGGAATATCTGCAAAGCTGGGGAGAGGTGCTACGGGACAGATGCTGAAAAGTGATAGCCAGCATTGGCAGCATGCAAGGTTAGGCATTTCCTGGGGCCCAGAGGCTGTCGAAGACAGGGGTGGACTTGGCTGTGTTTAACTTACAGGGAAATCTCCCGGCGGGCCACTGCCTGAGAGGCTTGCGGGCAGCCAGAAGCCGGGATAATCAAGCTCTAACAATTCTGCCTGAACCCCAGAGGGTGCTTGACTCAAGCCTCTCATGGGCAAGGCTAACTTGAGTCAGCCCACCGGACCGGTTGTCTTTTCCCACGCTGCAGCCGGTTGTCAAGAAGAAGCCGTGGGTGAGCAAATTCCCACTGTTTGCACTGCTGAGCCGAGTGGTCCCTGCAGGGCTGGCTTGTGGCACCCCGGGGGGGGGGGGACACTCAGCTGGGCTGGCTCCAGGGCCATTTTCACTTCCCGGTCTACATCCAGGTCTTCCTTATGCAGAAGCAGAGGACGCTTCTCTCTGTCTCAGGCACAGCCAGGTGTTTCGCAGCCTCGGCCACCTGAGGTCTACCCCTGAGCTATAGCCTTTCCCTAAGCAGAAGAAGTCTTAGTGCAGTTGGGGCCCTAGGCAAAAGTCCAAGACGAGGCCACAGAGTCATTACCTCCTGCCTCCTTCACCCTGGAGCCATGCAAGGGGTGGCCTTTGCCCTGCCCCTGGAAGCGGGTCGCCCGAGCCCCAGACGGAGAAGGCACGAGCAGCCCCTGCCAAGATGGTTGGAGCAGGCACAAGTGGCTTTTGAGCAGCTGGGAACAGAAACTAAGGGCACAGCAATACATATGACATCAATACAAAGTGAAATGCTGCATAAGTTCACACAAAGAAATTAATGCTGAAATCCAACTTCCATGTTTATAATTCTTGTATTTCAACAGGTGGACATCATCCAGACACCAGAGTGTCGACAAGATGTACAGAACGGGACGAACTTCTCGAGTTTTGCCGTTCGTTTCGAGAACAATCTTGATCAAACTTCAATTTCCAGTGGTCCTTTCACAGTCTAATTCACCACTAAGGTATCCAAACATTCAGGAAGGCTTCTAACAGCTCTTATCACCAACCATTATTATTTCACTAGTGGTGAATTAGACTGTGAAAGGACCACTGGAAATTGAAGTTTGATCAAGATTGTTCTCGAAACGAACGGCAAAACTCGAGAAGTTCGTCCCGTTCTGTACATCTTGTCGACACTCTGGTGTCTGGATGATGTCCACCTGTTGAAATACAAGAATTATAAACAACATGGAAGTTGGATTTCAGCATTAATTTCTTTGTGTGAACTTTTGAGCAGCTGGACCAAACCCCGAACAGGCTGGGTGAAAGTGGGGGTGGCTGGAACCTGCTGTTTTTCTTCTTTTCCACAACCAGGTGGGGCAGGGCCACAGGTACTTTGCCCTGTTGCCCTGTGGCTAAGACCGTCCCTGTCCCTAGCAGGGCAGCAGAGCACATCCAGAGTCAGACCCTTGGTCCATCTGGCTCAGTATTGCCTGCTCGGGCTGGTAGCCAGTTTGGTGTAGTGGTTAAGTGCGTGGACTCTAATCTGGGAGGACCGGGTTTGATTCCCCACTCCTCCACTTGCACCTGCTGATGTGACCTTGGGTCAGTCACAAGCTCTGGCACAGCTGTCCTTGAAAAAGAGCAGTTTGTGTCAGAGTTCTCTCAGCCCCACCCACCTCACAGGGTGTCTGTTGTGGGGAGGGGAAGGGAAAGGAGTTTGTAAGCCGCTTTGAGATGAGACTCCAAGTGAAGGCCAGGGTATAAATCCAATCTCTTTTCTTCTTCTTCTTCTCCAGGGTTTCTGCCAGTGGTCTCAGGCAGCACCCGCCCTCTGAGATCCTTTAAGCAGCCCGCCTTACAGGGTGGTTTAAGTCAGGATTACGGTGATCTCAGGTGTGAAGTGCTCCGAATTATAAATAGGTTGTGAAACCCACAGCCACAGGAGGTTGTAAAGGGGATTAGACCCTTTGATGGAGGATTAGGTCCATCGGTGTGCCCGGAATGCAAGTTACTCAGAGTGGGCAACACCAGGGGATTTGATGGCAGCAGAGCCACCGTGGATGGCTCAGTGATTGATGGGATCTTGCTGCAGAGAAGGAGGAGGAGGAGGTCTGCGTGCATCCTGCCATTTCCTCTGGCACTCCCTCCAGGCTCTCATTGCCCCCGATACCAAGTTACCGTGTGTCCCGCCCAGGGGTCATTTAGTAGAAAAAGAGGTGCAGGAGCTCATTAGCATAACTCATTTGCATAACTTATTTGCATATGCCACACCCCCTGACATCACGGGAAGTGGGTCAGAAGGCAACACCGACCGCTCAGGCTCCACTGGACTGTTTTGGATTGCTAGCTATTGGGGGGGGGGGAACGTGCAGATCTGTCCTCGCAGAGGAGCGAGAGCTTGTACCTGAATAAAAGTTGGTCTTAAAGCTGCCACTGGACTGTTTTGGATTGCTTTCTATGGGGCGGGGGCTCTGCAACTTACCTGGCTGCTTCTTGCTCTGACTGAGGGCTGCTGGGAGGAGGGGGTGGGGCTTGTTGCATGTGCCCGCCCCCTGGGCTCTTTACTGCCGGAGCTCCGCTCCTGTGCGCTCCTGCAGGAAATGACCCCTGGTCCCGCCATTTTGCGGACTTCCTCATGCTTTGAGCTGGAAGAACCACCCTAGCATCAAGGGCGGAGCAGCACGGGAAGAAGTTTCTTGGGGGCGGCACAATTCCTTAAGCCACCCCTGTATTATTATGGGGTGTCGATTCATTCATTCATCCTTGGGAGATGCTGTAAGAGCCATGTGTGTGTGTGTGTGTGTGTGTGTGTGTGTGTGAAGGGTGTTTCAAGATTTCTAACCTCCCTCTCCAACTGTGGGTTTTCAAGACAGCTTATGATCCAGCATCAAACCATAAACACATGAAGCTGCCTTATCCTGAATCAGACCCTGGGTCCATCAAAGTCAGTGCTGTCTACTCAGGGCATCAGGGGCTCTCCAGGGTCTCAGGCTGAGGTCTTTCACATCACCTGCTACCTCATCCCTTTCAACTGGAGATGCCGGGGATTGAACCTGGGACCTTCTGCACACCAAGCCGATGCTCCATCAATGAGCCACAGCCCCCTCATTCAAAAGAAATCCATGCACGGTGTGGGCCGAAGGTCCCCCATGCCCTGCTGATTAAAAGAGGTCTCCGTCTGATGGGCGGCTGGATGGGAGATCTCCTGGGAAAGCCCTCCTCCCCCACCCATGGACGCTGCCTTTCGGATCCGTGATGGAAGCCAGATGGCATCACAGACTAATAACAAAGGAATAAAATCAAAACAGGAGGAGGAAATCCAAAATTGGGACTGCAGTCTTTAAAAACCTCCAAAAATTTAATGCGTGAAAACCAGTGGCAGCAGTGACTTTAATGTCACTAACCGAATAACAGAACCGTCCCAAGACATTTTCTCATAATCCTTACGACAGCCCTGCAGGCTGGTGGAGACGAATTATCCCCTTAGGACAACATAGAGGCTAAGGCAGATATGTGCTCTTTCCAGAGATGAGACTCAAACAGCGGCCTTTCTGCCTCTGTGCTACACCACTTCTCTAAAGGGGAGCGTTTTCGCTTTGGAGATCAAAGTGCAGGCTCCTCTTTGGCTTCAACGTGCAGAGTGGAGCGAGAGAAACCAGCGAGAGGCCCTCGATTCCTCATAAATACACACATTTATTTAACACAATTTATTCAAAACCATTTACAGGCTGCTTTTCTGAAAACTTTAACATAGTTCACAAAGATAGAATATCACTTTAAACGATGAAATAAAATAAAATATGGAGGGAGAGAGAATACACGGCGACAGAGTGGCAAAAGGGTCAGCTCCTCTCGTCTCTCATTCTGACAATCCCCGATACGGACGGACCAGAATAACCAACCCTGCGAGAAAGGAGATTCTCACAATACCACCCTGGCCACGCAAATGGGACCGGCACCAAAGGCAAATCCTGACAGATCCCTAGGTTATTTCAGTGTTGTGAGAAAGACACTTTGCACATGCACAGAAGGTCACTCTTTGCTATTTCATAAGCTGCAGGACCAGGCCCTGATATTCAAAACAGACTGAGCCTTCAAAAACCCTCCTGATGGATGGTCACTTCCAAACGTACAGAGCTGGGGCCATGGGGAAGAGGGGATGGGAATTATCGTTTCTAAAAGAAGATCGTGGTGTTCAGGAGTTCCTCAAAGCCACTTGTCTTGGTCTGAAATGTCTCTTTCCTCGTCTCAGAATGGAGGGTTTCAGTCACAATTACTCACTGGTGTAAGCAGTGCACTCTGCACATGGTCAGAGCACCACCCGCTGCAGCCAGACTGCATCAATAAAAAGTTCTTTCCATGCATCACAAGGAGGGTCTTGGCACTGGAAGGAGGTCCCAGATCTAAGCCCATTTCCAAATTAAGGTCTGCTTGGGTTCTGAGGTGTGTCCTCCTCCTCTCCTGTGTTACCATTGTGCTTCCCGATTTAAATTTTAGCTTATCTTCTAACATCAGCAAAGCCGCCCTGATGTCTATTCTGCCTCCAATGAACAATTTACACCCAAGGAATCCCATATGTAATCTGAAAGATTGCAAGGATGAGCCGGCCCACCCAGAGACAAGGTGTGGCTCTTGTCTCTCCGCTGTTTAAGAAGGGAGAGAGGCTCACGCACTGTTTGCATTTCTATGCGTTCTTCTAAACACTTAACAAAACCTGCAAACAACATGCTACCCATTAGCCAGACCCCCATATGACCTTGCAAGTCCTTCCTGGTTATCTGCCAGCCCTCATGCCAGGGCCCAAAACACCAAGATCAGACCAATATTCTCAATTCTGTCTTCGGGTTCGCAATGTTCCCTCTAAGCTGAGTTAGTGTGAGCTAGCTCACAGTTTTTTAGCCTCCGGCTCACACATTTTTGCCTTCGCTCAGGAAGGAGGGCTCCAGAGCAAACTAAATGATGCAGTAGCCACATCGCTCACTCACAACTTTAATGCCAGTCACTCACAAAGGAGAGTTTTTGCTCACAAGACTCCACAGCTTAGAGGGAACATTGGTTCCCAGTCCCCACTCCAAGCCACCCTGCAACACCAGCGTGGTTCAGTCTTTCAAGATCTAGGCAACCAGAGATAGCCCAGCAAACTAAGACACACAAACCCCAAATTCTGTGCTGTTGCTCTCCATTCCATTCTGGTGGTGAGCCGGTGCGAAGGCAAGGAGGAGAGCCTTTCCACCTCCCCAGTCCAGCTTTGCGAGCTGGGATCCATTGGATGACCTTGAAGATAACCCGTTGCCCATAGTCCAAAGGCAATGAATGCCTCGGAAGCAGGTTCTCCACGTGTTTCCAGTGGGTGACAGCCAAACACATTCAGGCCCTTTGCCTGAGATGTTTCCTCCAAGGAGTGAACACAATAGAATGATGCCCGCTATTGGAATCAGGGTAAGAAGCTCCAGCCACAGCATAAAGTTTTTAAATTATGGTCGGAGGGACTGTTCAGCGGAGGAAAAAACGCAGTCTTAGATCTCCCCTGCTGGGGTGGTGGAAGTCCCAGGCCAAAACCACACAGCAGGGAAGACCGGCTGATTTTAGACGTAGTTGCTGGTTGGCATCGATCGGGCCGCTGTGTACTTTGCGGAGTAGGGCTTCTCGTTTTTAGGCGGGCAATTGTAACAGAGCAAGGCCCCTCCGAGAAGAAGGAGGCCGGCGGAGGCCCAGCCGATGTAGAGCGAGGCGCCCAGCTCCCGCTTCTGGTTGTCGGTGACCATGGGGTTGTAGAAGTCCCGGATAATCATGTTGGCGGTCCAGCAGAGGGGGATGAGGAGCATCAGGCCGGACAAGATGAAGATGACACCGGAGAAGATGACGATCTTGGCCTTGGCCGATTCGTCCTCCACACAGTTGGTGCATTTCCCGCCGATGATGGCGAAAAAGATGCCCACCACCGCCAGGATGATCGCGACGATCACCAGCGCCCGGGCTGCCTGCATGTCCTGGGCCAGGGCCAGCATGGACTCGTAGATCCTGCACTGCATCTGCCCGGTGCTCTGGACCACGCAGGACATCCACAGGCCATCCCAGATGATCTGGGACACCACGATGTTGTTGCCGACGAAAGCCATCACTCGCCACATCGGCAGGCCGCAGCAGAGGATGGTGCCCAGCCAGCCAATGACCGAGAGGGTGATGCCCAGCACTTGGATCCCCATGGTGGCCATGGTGGCTCCCGGCTCCCCGCACCTGCCACTGAACCGAAACGGGAGAGCTGCAGAAACGGGAGACGCGGCTCTGCTAGTGAGCTGCAGGTGGTAAATTTGGGGAAATTATATGTCTCGGCGGCGGGTGGAGCCTCCCAAGCCCCATCCCGCCTGAACAGACGCCGAGGCTCAAACCAGTCTGCCGGGATTCCTGCTCTTCATCGCAGGCCGGGATCTTTGCTTTTCAAGGATAGAGCTGTCTCCTGGACTGGGAGGACTGGTTTTTCCCTTTTCCCAACCGGGTAAAATTAAACCTCAGCCAGGACCAAAAAAAAAAAGAAGAAGGGGATGAGTTAGGAGAAGACACGCCAAGGGTGTGTGTAACATTCGTTCTGCTGTTTGGCAGAACTGATCAGAAGACAGGAGTGGATGACTCCACTTCTGCATCTAGTCCAGCAGACTGCTTCCAACAGTGAACAGCCAAATCTTCCTGGGGAACAGAGTCACGACCAGGATAGGAAAGCGGCCACTCTTGTCCCCAGCAACTGATAGTCAAAGATATTGTGTGCTTGAACAAGAAGGCTATCGTGGGCAATGAGAAAAATCTTGTCCTATGGAAGAGGTACCTTGTTGGATCAGAGCGAAGGGAGACCATCCGGTCCAGCATCCTGTTCCCAAAGTGGCTGGCCATTTTGAGCATGAGTGTTATTTCCATGTCACATCTGCTATTTGGAGGTGTACAGCTACTATACATGGAGGCTCCACTTAGCTAACAGATAAAAGGTAAAGGTAAAGATTCCCTTGCTCGGAAGCCAGTCGAATCTGACTCTAGGGTTGCGGTACTCATCTCCGTTTCAAAGCCAAAGAGCCAGCGCTGTCCGAAGACTGTGGTCATGTGGCCGACATGACTAAACACCGAGGCGCACGGAACGCTGTTTCCTTCCCACCGAAGTGGCACCTATTTATCTACTTGCAATTTCTTGCTTTTGAACTGCTAGGTTGGCAGGAGCTGGAACTAGAGATGGGAGCTCACTCCATCATGCGGCACCCGGGTCTCGAACTGCTGAACTACTGACCTTCCACAGCCTGCAGTTCAGCGTCTTAACCACTTGAGCCACCACAGCTAACAGATATCGATAGGCAAATCTAGGGTTGCCGGCTCACAGGTGGGACCTGGTGATCTCCCACTGTTACAATTGACCTCCGGCTGACGAGGATCAGTTCCCCTGAAGAAAATGGCTGCTTGGGAGCATGGATTCGATGGCATTATACCCTGCTGAGGTCCCGTCCCCTCCCCAAACCCCACCTTCCCCAGGCTCCACCCCAAAAATCTCCAGGTATTTCCCAACCCAGAGCTGGCAACACTAGGCAAATCGCTTCTCAAAGCCAGTGGCACTACTGGTCAGGACAGCGGAACCTTCTTGCAACGAGTTCCATAGGCTAACAACATCCTTTGTAGGAAAAGTGTGCCCCTCCTTCCTTACCCTGCAGTCCTGCTGTGTCCCAAATGTTTCCCTTCCCACACCCTCACTTGTGATCCGGCCTGGATGCTCCATCTCCACACGGCCTATAGACTGCGTCCAGGGCTATTTTTGGGCAGGAACGCACAGGAACGGAGTTCCAGCTGACTCCCGAGTTGGCCACGCCCAGCAGGAACTCATTAGCATAATAGGCCACACCCAACAGCAGAAACGCATTAGGATTGGCTACATTAGGGGTGTGTGGCCTAACATGCAAAGGAGTTCCTGCTACAAAAAAAGCCCTGGGTTTTTACCACAAACAAGGTCAACAGAATAAGAAGCAAAAGGTGGGCGTGGCTGGATGACCACACTTCTGGTAACATGGGGGTGTGGCCTAATATGCTAATGAGCTGTGCTGGCAGGGGTGTGGCCTAATATGCTAGTGAGTTTCTGCTGTGGGGTGTGGCCTATTATGCTAATGAGTTCCTGCTGGGCTTTTTCTACAAAAAAAGCCCTGACTGCGTCCATAAGTGAATCACCTCATCCTCTGAAGAAGGGATGTCCAGCCACACCTGTCCCTTGCTATTGAGAGCACCAAACTAGTCAGAGCAGCAATAGTTGCCTCACAAGAAGAAATCCCTGTTCCACCAACAGCCAAGACAGTAAATGGTGTGAGGGGAGAGGGCGAGAGGCCCAGTTATTTCCTGGTCCACACAGCATCCTTCTTTCTTCCCCTCTGTTGTGGTTGATTTCCTCTTAAACGTTTCCAGGGCTAAAAGCCCAGGGATGCTGGCAAGTGTTGAGACAGGCCTAGTCCTTCCTGAGGGGGAACTGCATGGCACACTCATTGGCCAGTTTCAAAATGGAGGACAGAGAGATTGGCTTGGTGTGCCGTACACCTTCTCTGTAGTGGCAATCAAGCAAGACTAGAAGTCACACTGCTGAGCTCACTCAGTGGAGAGGGAAACACACTCTGTGCATGTTCAGAGGCACGTCCCGATTACTTTGCGCATTTACAGAACTGAGCCTCACCCACCATCCAGGCCAGCAGGGCTCCACAAGAGACCAGAACCATCATTCAAGGAAGCGGCATGTTCTAGGCTGCGATCGAGACAAGAATCTCACTCCTGGATCTTTCCGGTGCCACTAACAACATTCATCCTGGCTACTCTTCACTCCTTTTCTTCTGTTGTCTCTCTCCACTAACAAAATGTTGTCGTGTATCATTCGCACGTATACTTATCAGAGTGACCGAATGGGAGGTGACTGGGTTGGAGTGAACTTTCAGTGATAAAACCTGGGACAGTTAACTGCATCATGTGTGAAATGGCTGTGCTTATTGTTGGGAAACCCCTATTGTTTTAGTGTGTGTGTGTGTGTGCGTGCGCACCCACACACTCACCACACACCTTACCATATAAACCCGATAGTTGGCCCTCAGTACAGATTGTATTTTAGCCCAGACGGTCCATTCTTTGGACTGCATTTGTCCCAAGGTTTCCCTTTCCCCCCTTATTTGTCTCCCACCAACAATGAAGCCAGTGTGCTGGAAACTATTCGGCCCTTTCACCCCACAGCCTGGAGGCCTCACCAGCCCCTCTCACACACCTGCAGAGCTCCTGGGCAGTACAGTCCTAAGTAGAGCTATACCCTTCGAAGCCTCATTACTTCAGTTGACTTTAAAAGGTGTAACTCTGTTCAGGATTGCACTGTGGACCTGAGATGAAAGAAACCGGCTCTGCCTTAGGGCTGCCGAAGCCAAGTTCTGACTGATGGCAGATTGTTCCTCTGTGTGTTTGTGTGTGTGTGTTTTTTAAGTTCACCTAAAAATCTAGCTTCAAGGTGAAGGGTTCTAGCCCAGCCCCCACCCTGATATGCTAGCTTTCTTGGTGCGTAGAACTCCTTTAAACAGACGAGCCCGCAATCTCGTGAGTCTCCATCTAAAATCTGAAATGGGCACAGTCCAGACCCGAGTTCACCAACAGTAAGGAGGCAGGGATCCACTCCAGCCGCTGCTCTCTGGGAGCTAGTCCTTTCAGTCTCTTTTCCTCCACAGCCTGCCTGGTATCAATTTACACTGTACAGTCAGACAAGGTCACAACAGACCGGTTGCCAAATTTCTGGATCATGATGACAAACCAAATGCTGCTCGTCACAGCCATCCTGGACAGCCCAGGGCCTTTGGGTGCCTGAGCATCAGGCCTTCAAAGAAAAAACAAGGTACAAAAAGATACTGGAGAGAACAAGAGGGGGGAAAACAGTACTAATTTGTAATTCTATAACAAGACACAGTGCAAATATCATGATCACAAAGGTAAAAGGTAAAGGTTCCCTTGCTCGAAAGCCAGTCGAATTCGACTCTAGGGTTGCGGTGCTCATCTCCGTTTCAAAGCCAAAGAGCCAGCGCTGTCCGAAGACATTTCCGTGGTCATGTGGCCGGCATGACTGAACACCAAGGCGCACAGAACGCTGTTACCTTCCCACTGAAGTGGTCCCTATTTATCTACTTGCAATTTCTAGTCGTAATTTTAATCATTGGTGTGATTAGCTGAAAGATGGCTTTCCCTTTTCTTTAAGAGGTGCAGGGAAGTTTGCACTTACTACAGGCTATCATAACTTATATTTTTAAAAATGAACGGTGTTCTTATTATTGTTTATTATATTTGTAACCGGTTTTATGAATTTGCTTTACGGAATTTACATGTACCGGTCACAGAAGCTTCCTCTCAATTGTGTTAATTTGCAGTTGTGTTTTGTTTTAAAATGACGTATCATTATAACATTGGCACGGTGTCTTGTTACGAAATTACCAACTTATACTGTGTTTTGTTCCTTCAGTCCGTCTGGTACATTTTTGTGCCTTGTTGTTGTTTTTTTTCCTGTCTCAGAGCGCCGTCCCTTTTGTTTATCAAGGCCGTCTTCAACACTAGCCACCATGCAGGGTTGCCAACCTCCAGGTGGGGCCTGGGGATCCCCTGGAATTACAGCTCCTCTCCAGACTACAGAGATCAGGTCCCCTGGGTAAAATGGATGCTTTGGAGGGTAGATTCTATGCCACTGTACCCCACTGAGGTCCCTGTCCTCTCCATGCACCACCCTCAAATCTCCAAGAGTTCCCCAGAACTGAGCTGGCAACCCTATTCCCCCATCCCCCCCCAGTGGCGGGGGGGGGGGACCTGGCAACTTTATGGGAGATATCCAGGTGCCACCTGGAGGTTAGCAACAGTACTGGACTCCCCCCCTCCCCAGACTCCACCCGCCACAAGTACCACCTCCAGATCTCCAGGAATTCCACAAATCGAAGCTGGCAACCCTACCACCATGAGCTATAGAGGTCAGCAGGGCTATTTTGGGGCAGGAACGCACAGGAACGGAGTTCCGGCTGACTTCAGAGTTGGCCATGCCCACTACAGCCAAAACCTCTGCATGCGTGGCTACAGAGGGAAGGCCTGGAGAGTGACATCCCCCCCCCCCCGGCCACTCTGAGGTGGGCAGGCCAGGGGGCCCCTGGAAGGATCGGGTAGACATTTAAATGCCTCCCCGTGCCTTCCCCGGTCTGTCCAAGGGCCGGCTTGCCCGGGTGCCCCACAGCCGCTGGGCACTCTGGGCAAGCCA